TTCTGCCTTTAGAATCCAACCTCTAGGATCTCCATCACTAAATACAGGGAAATCTATCTTGTTATAAGGGCGATAAGGACGATTGTTTCTCCAAGAGTACTCACCATCATCGGCAGGATCTTTATGACCACGTTTAAAACCGCTGTTACTAGAAGATGAAGCATGAGACTTGAGGGCGGCGATGTCGTCTTTCAGGGATTCCATGACGGCTAGTCTCTCGGCGATGGCGGCTAACTAGACGGCAATGGGGTCAGGTTCTGCACCCCCGCCTTCCAATTGGTTACTCCGGGTTGTTGGTGCCATTCGATTTCCCGGCAATGGAACCAAATGATAAAGCTTGAGCTTGATTGAATTTAGAATTAAAAAAAGTACATCAAGTCCCAATTCGAGAAGGGATAGTCTCCAGATTCTCAAAGGAAAATACAATAAAAGATAATCACATAAGAAAATAACATGACACTAAGTAATAAACCCACTCCCAGGGGAGTTGGTAACTGCCACGTAACCCACCCACTCAGCCACTTAGTGGGTTGTTTGAAATGCCCATTAACATTTTGAGCTGCTCCACTTCTGCCGGCCCACCCATTGCCATCTTCTTTTTCCTTCTTGAATATACCAATCTGATTGGAGGCTTATCATTGGTCCTGGATGAAGATGAAGATTGCGAACCTAATTTGTGGAGAACGAAGATGAAGATGTCTTGGTCGACTTTGATCGTGGATGAAGATGAAATGCTTTGTCGAGATTTACTGCCTTAGATGGATGCGATGAAGTTGGGAGTATGTAAGTTTAATTAAATTTTTGGATTATATTTTCTATATTTAAATTGAATAAACTCTTAAAACTTGAGAATGATCAATACGTCATTTGAGAGAGCACGACTTTGAACACTACGTTATTCGTAAATGAATACTATAATTGCATTGAACAAATGTGTGTAAATGAGCACTGCATTAATTCAGAATGAGTACTATTATATAATTTCAGAAAGAGTACTATGTCATGTGCTTAACCATGAGAATTGTTACTGCTAGACATACCCACTGCCATATGCTCACAGTTGAAGACTCGAGAAGATGATCCTCATTACTGATGTTATCTTTTGAATTGCACCTCATTGATGTTTATCATGCTTGTATCTCATGAATGCTGCCCTGCTGAGCCCGAAATTTAATGAAGCCTTACAGGGAAGATCTGAAACTCATTGAAACTCTGAATGGATTGGAATGACTCTCGTATGTTGCTCTCCTGTATTTGTATCATTGTTGTATGTGTTACTCGTGCTGTATTGTTTCTGTCTCTTTGTATTGTTGTTTGTTTAGATTAGTGGGTTTGTAATTGCTTTCTTATGCACGTAACCATTATCATAGTTAACTTGTTTAATTTGGGTAATAATAATTTGCATGTTATCTTCCGAAAGAGTACTATGTTATTTCAAAATAAACACCTATGCTTTATGCGAGAACGAATACCACTTTATTCAAAAATGAATATTATCTGGCTATATCTTCTGGTATAGCCGGTTGTACCATATATGGACTCTAGAGAGAGAAGTTGGTGGAAGAAGCTAATGGATCGAAGTTGAGTTTTGCAACAAAACTAGAAAATTGGAAAATTGTAGCGACGCTTATCGATGAGAGAGAAGTTGGGACAAATGAACTTCAAATCCGACACTAATACTTAGATATAAATAAAAGGGACTATTTTTTGGGACAAACGAAGTTTAAATCCTACACTAATATATAAATAGATTGAACTAAGAAGATTTAAGTGAACATATTCATCCAAAACAGGAAGATTATTTATGAAACGATGATATAATTTAATTTTAATCCAAGTTTCTTTTACGATCCTCCAACTTCAAACTCCACATTCCAGTTTTAATAAAAAGGCTAAAAGAAGAGAGCATATATCAAAACACACACTCCAACTATTAACCTGTATTCGACCCTGAAATGTTCGACCCCGAAATGAACCAAAAATACAAAAACACATCACTTCGTAAAAAAAAGAAGAATTATCTATGGTTACATTACACAAGCATCTCTGCCAAGCTCTGTTCAAATACTACAACAGGGTCATAATAAGAAATAACAATACTAATAGTTATAATCACAATAACAATATTTATTACTACGGAGTATAATAATAATTAATATTAATATAATAGGATTAAAAATAATAATAAATCAAATAACAACAACAACAACAATAAGATAGTTCTTACTTGGCTGACTCGCGCTACACTAGGACTGATGCACAAGGTTAACTCAGATTCCCGGTACACTGCCGATAGCATTCTGCCAACTGTTTTTCTTCTTTTTTTTAGACCTAACTCTAAAGGCAAAAGCATACCAAGCCACCAACAAGAACCACAAGCAGGCTTGCAACCACAAGTAGATTGGGCATGAAAGTAGCAGATGAAGCTGAGCGCAATCTTGCAAAGAACATCCTTCCATCTCTAGCTTTTGTGCTTCCAGCCGCTCCTTGGTTGTCTTTCCTGCAGCCTTCAAAGATTTCATTCTTCTCCTTGGTGGCAGTACAAGCTTCTTCTCTCGAACTTGTGTTGTCCTGCATGGTCCAAACAAATATAACTTAGCATGCAACAGTATATATAGAGTGCCTGTTTCATTATGTTTTTTTTTTGGCTCAAATGGCTGATTTTTCAGAAAACAGAAGTGTTCGTCATGTCAAAAGCTATTTATTCTGTCGATAAGTAGAACTATGCAGACTTGGCAACAAAAGGACCCTGAACTAGTCTGTCATGTCCAATTACTCTCAAGTTAATGTTACAAGACATAATCATGTAGCAGTTATCTGAAGTCATCCTCATCTTGTCACTTGATATTTTCTGTGAATGTGGACACAGCTTATGGTGGTGACGGTTTAGAAAAGCTCATCTTATTATTCCTTCCAAAGAAAGTTCTTAGGAGGGCATCAGGCGCAAAACATTGTCAATACTATGTCTTTGGCATGAGTATAAGCCCCATTTAGGATGGTGTTTGCCGTGAGAAAAGCTCTTTTTCGTCCTAACGCAGTTTCAAACAAATTGAAGTTTTGTCCAAAAGCTAATTTAAAATGCCAAAACCGACTTTAGCGAAAAATCAATCCAATATGACTTTTAGGTTTCATGAATTGCATTTGAGGTTAACAAATACCGAATACTTTGAATCCTTTCAGACATTATAAATTTTGCACAAGTCTTTTCAACTTCAATGCCAACTTCTATCTAACACTCAAAAGTACTTCCCACAGCAGTTATCAAAAGGACTTTCAAAAAATACATTTCCAATAATGAGTTTCATCCGACCACAACCTCAGTACCAAATTCATCCTTAGAGCATTAAAAAAATCTTGAAAATTAATCGGCGCAATATGTTTCTTGCAACTGACCTCAATTAGTTGGGATTAAGGATGCTGGTGATGCTGAGAGAGCATATTGAAGAAAAACAAGGTTTACTGGGAGGAGCTTACATTAGTTATCTCTGAGTGTGCACTCTCTGCCTGATCTGAATCTCTAGGCCGGAGACATTGAACTGGTCCAACATGAACTTTCTTTTGGAAACGGATTCTCCGAGGAGCACATCCTTGCCCGGTTGTCTGTTGATCACCTTGTTGATTCTGTACCTGCCGGGACCTTACTTTTATTCTAGGTCTAGAAATGCTACCGTTATTAGCAGCACTCTCTGGTTGGCAGTAAACCATTTCAGGCACCCCAATTCCACTACAGACTGAAGACAAAGCACCATCTTCATAATAATTATTGTTGGCAAGATCTAGATTCCAGTTCTCGTTATCAGAACCGATGGTAGGGGTAGTGTACGCGCCAAAATATGGATTAGCAATGTAATTAACCTGTCTTGGAGGTATTGCCTCCTGATTATTTGGCGCAAACAGCTCATTTTGAAAACCAACTACCTCAGTCTGAAAAAGACAAAAATCATAGGATTATTTCCAGTTATGAAAAACATACCCATGAACCAATTAAGCACTGACATGGTGGAATAATAATCTTTAAGGGATATTAGAAAATCATTGATGTGCAAATACCTGAAGAAAGCTTCCATTTTCAAGCTGCTGAGTAACTTCTGCTTCAGATTCACCATCTGAGCTGACAAGGGCAGGCGGGGGAGCCATGTTCAAAAACTCATTTGGGTCAAATACCTTAGTTCCATACAGAAACTGGATATCATTATTATTCATAATAATGCCATTTGTGACATCTCCATATAAGTTGTAGGCAGATCCAAACTCCGGCATTGTATATGGGGGAGAAAATATGGGCTCTGCTGAAGGGTCGCAAATGTACTTCAATGCTTCAAGCTCAGGATCGGCCTGCAATATAGAAGGGCACGAAATTAAACACACTAATAAATGGTAGAACCAATAAACCAATATGGTTAAGGTTTTCTGCTCACTGGAAAAGAGGTAATGTCAAGTACTTGATCTTCTTTACTGTCAGCAATACAACTATTACTGTTACTATCAATAGCGAAAATAGCACCACTGGGAGCTTCATCCACAGAACTCTTCTCTGGTGTTAATGGATGTGTGATGATGTGCTGTGACATAATCATAGGAGTCACACCTTCGCATGGCTCCTCTTCAGCAAGTGACCTCACCTCATCGGAGTTTGAAGCTTCAGCACAACCATCCTGTTTTAACTCGGGCTTCTTAAATAATCTGCACAGCACAAAAGGAGCCTGTACAAGGGAATGTAACAGTTACCCCAAACATTTTATTAGTGATAAACAAAAGAAATATTGTAGTGTAGACAATGATGAAAGAATTTATAAATGCCAACCTGCCCAGGGAGTGTTCCATCGAATGCTTTCTCGGTTGCACGATATTCGTGAATCACCCAATGAGTCCTCTTTCCTTCAGGAGCTCGGCCTGTGTAGTAAACTAAAGTCTTCTTCATCCCAACCTTTTTGCCCTTCCTAGAAGATATGGTCCTGTCTTTACCAGTTGCCTTCCAGTACCCTCGCTCTGTTGCTCGATTCAACCGCTGTCCATTTTGGTACTTCCGATCTTTAGGACAGAAGAAGAACCATTCATTGTCATGTGACTCAACTACTGACATATCTGCACAACAGTAACAATATAACCACAAGAACCATCACTTTTTAGGTACAAGAAAACCAAGACTCAACAAAAGTAAAACTGTGTGGTTGCGTCCTATGTAGGGAGAAAAATAATATGAAATGTGGGACCTTTTGCGACAGATGGAGTGTAGGAAAGAAAACTACTTACTAGGCAGACCAAAGTGCGGAATTGATGAAAAACATCTAGCCAAAAAAAGGGAATTGAGAAATAGAAGAGTTCGATTTATGCCCAATTGTCCACCCAAGTGAACTGATGATGAGTCTAACAAAGTCCATCTAACAAGACTTTGTGGTCAAGATGATCAAATCCGACGCGAATTTAGTTGATTTACCACACCCCACGATGGGATTTCAGATATAGAGTTTGGCATCGTTCCAGATAGATACCACACCAAATACGACTGGAGATTGGATTTTTGCACTAAAGTTGAATCAGATGAAGAAAATAAGCGTTAAAATGTTACTTCAACTCACCAGGCAAATCCCAGGGCTCATGTTTACAGATATCAACCTCGCGAATAACACAGACCTCTGCTTCTGAGCCGGTGATCTTCATCTTCAAGTAGTGATCAACCAGCTCCACATCCGTCGGCCGGAACCGGTACCCCACCGGCAGCGATTGCAACGGCGGTAATTCCGCCACCCTCTCTACCTTCATTACAGCCATCGCCACTTCCCCAAGTCTGAGAGAATGAGGGCGAAATACGTATCCGAATGAAATTGAACCGAGGCCAAATATTTACAGAAGGATTAAGTAGGAATTCAGTTATTAGGGTTTCAAGAAGCCATGATAGTTCCAGGAAACGGAGCTGTGAAAAAATGGAGAAAGATAAAAATAAGGATTATGCCATGTGTACCCCAAGTTTTGTACTCCAATTTGGACCCCGCAATTTTGTGTTGGTGTAAAACTAATTTTTGTTAAATGCACCAACATTTGTGTCCGTGTGAATTTTTATTAACGCACCAACAGTTGTGTCGGTGTAAACCATCGAAATGTTTGTGCAAACCTGTGGTGTACAAATGGGGTATATTTTTTGGTGTAAGTATAGCATGGTCCTAAAAACAAGTATGACGTCTCGATATTGAACACAGGATGGTAGCTGGTAGGACCGTGGGAGTCCTCTTTTACCACCCAACATAAAGTAAAGACTAAGGAGTTGCTCCTTTGACTACAATCAATCTCTAGTAGTCTAGTGTGGACTCTGGACGCATACTGGTTAGGGGTGGACACCGAGTCGGAAAGTGATGGAGGATAAAATCCTCCACGTTGGGCCTTTGGAATGAACCCCGGGCAGGAGGCCCAAAATCAAGTTTTGGTTTTAGCCTAGAAGAAGTTTCGAGGTCCCTCCGCATTGAGGGACGAGCGTGAAGCATCAAGGGCAGACTGAGCTGCTAGCGATGCTGATGGACGCCACATGACTGACTAAAACAAATGTTCTAACTACAATAATTATCCCAATTACCATAAATCCCCAATATTACTTCATTTTAACTTATAATAAACAAATACTCATATGAAATTTATTTAAAGTGAAGAGAGTAGCGTATTAACTAATTGAAATATTTGTTATAAGCGAAGAAGTAAAAAATATTGAATTAGGAAAAAAAATTACTATAAAAAATGAAGATCTCTATTTCATAAATAACTTTATTCAAAAATTTCATAGTAAAATATTTTCATATTTCATATGTTTAAATTAGGTAACATATTAGGTGTAAAAAAGCCTAATAAGTAACGCATATGTCAACTTTATAAAAATAAAAAATTTACTTTATATATATAAAGGATTTATTGAATGATCTTATTCTCAATAATTTAATATAAAAGATTTATTGGAAATTTTTAATTTTGAAAATTTTATTTTTGATAAAAAGTAAAAGTTAAGTCCTAAGTAAATTCTATAAATAGTCCCTAATTAAAGGTGGTTTTCTATATTTAGTCCTCAATCCTTAAATATACTATTAACGGTCCTCAATTTTTGAAATTTAGTTCATAATTAGACCTTCATGGACTATTTGTGGAATTTTTTTAATATTTGGCTTAAAGAACTATTTATGAATAGTTTTGCAAAATTGAAGACTGGTTATGGAATATCTAAGAATTGGAGACTAAATATGGAAAAACACTTGTAATTGGAGACCATTTATGAAATTTATTCTTAAATCCAATTTCAAGTATGAAATAATTGAATAGAGTTGTAGCTTATAAATCAAATTCTACACAATTTGTCCTGTATTATCCCACGTGTATACCACATATTATGACACATGTCAAGTTCTTATATATTGGAGTCTCAAACTTACATATTCTCTTCGGTCTTGAAAAAGTCTTCCTCTCTTGACTTTTTTGGCAGAAAGTGAAACTCTTTCGTCTCCTTAACCACAAATTAAATATAATCTAAATAAAAAAATGTTATAAAATTTGATCTACGAAGACTATGTCCTAAGATGAGTTCAAATATATTGTATTTATATTATAGTCAATATATACTTTTCTCACATTTTATGGGTAAATAGTATCATTGTTTAACAAAAAAGGTTAAAATAAGAATAATTTTTAGGACCATAAAAGTATAAAGGATTTACATTAAATTTACACACAGTGACACCCACCACACATGTGTGTGTATGTGTGTGTATATATATATATATCGGGACTAATAAAGAAAGAAAGAAAGAAAGGGGGGAGGGAGTATATATATATATATATATATATATATATATATATATATATATATATATATAGGAGGAAATCATTTAAAGATTTGGTTCTCGGACGCTCCGGATTATAAGAGGGAGTCCATTATTAAATCGCGCAGAATAAAGTGCGTGCTCTCGCCTCTTCCGACACTTGAGAGGCAATCGATCATCTGCCGCAGCGAATAAATATAAATCCTAAAGGCGGCCTGCAGGCGATATATATGATGTATACGGAGTATATATCTTCGGGCCGGTCGGAAGTAGTGAATTAAAAAAAAAAAAAAAGGTGCAGTGGACCGGCCGGCGATCTGAGAAATTATTAAGTGAGGGGGCCGGGGAATTGAAGGTCGCCGTCGCCGGAGGCATAGATAGGGAAAATGGAAAGGGCGGCGGCGGGGGGCGGGATACGGGTGGTGTTGGGGATGCTGCTGGTTCAGGGTATTATGGCGGGGTTACAGATTCTGTCAAAGGTCATACTTGGGGAGGGAGCCTTTGTTTTCGCCCTCATGACTTACCGTCACATCGTCGCTACCCTCTGCGTCGCCCCTTTTGCTCTCCTATGGGAAAGGTCCGTCACACTCCTCTCCCTCCATCTCCATTTTTTTTCTCTTCTGTCTTGAATTAAACATTTTCTTCAATTCAATATATTTTTGGAAAGTGTCTCAGATTCCGCCCAATTTTTTGAAACATTATTTGTAGAGTCAAGCTTAATTTATTTTAACTATTCATTTTTTTTAATAAAAATTAAATTTAATATAGTTTTTTAATATATACTCCCTCCGTTCTCAAACAAAAATACTTCCTCTTTCTTTTTTTTCTACTTCCAACAAAACATTTCCACTTTCTATTAAAAAACCACTTTTGCCCTTACTTTTTCATACCCTACCTATCACATTATACTTTATCTCTAATAATCTATTCATCACATCTTACTTTTACCTATCGTATCCGAAGAGCATCTGAAATTAATTTGTTTACTTATACTCCATTTCAAAATACTACTCTGAAAATTACTCCTCTGTCCACAATAGATTTTCCCAGACACTATTCACAGGGTTAAACTTTACTCACTTTATTTACTCATTTTTACTAGTCATTTTATAAAATAAAATAGTCTTGTCACCTCTAGTTTTGTAGAATTTTTCATGTAGTTTATTACTATATAAATTTTATTTTAAAATTTTACTCCTATAATAAATTAAATTGAATTGAAAATAAAGTCGGTCAAACCTCGTAACGCGTAACGGGAAGATCTTAGGTGGAGGGAGAAAGTACTAAAAAGAGGTAAAAATTACTCCTAAGACTAATGAAAAAGGTATGCGGTAAACTTTTATGGGACGTGGGGGATATTTTCTTTCAAGAATGGGACACGTGTCTAAGGACATTTTTTTCTTTCTATATATATATATATATATCTCTTTAATTTTATTTTTAAAGAAGAAGTTGGTGGTATTTATTTTTACACTATATTCGATTCAAATACTTTGAAAAAAAGAAAAAGAAAGATAAATCTTTTCTCGTTTTTTCTTCAGCGAAATGAGAAAAAATTGTTTTTCGATTACATCCACTTTTCTTTTTCTTCCTCTCTAGTCAAATAAGAAAAAATTATTTTTCATCTCATTTTCTTTTTTTCTTTTCTGTCAAATTCTTCGAATCAAACATAGTGTTAAAGAAAAAAAAATTAAAGAATCAATTTGAATTCATTTAGATTTATATATTTATTAATATATGTTTTGGATGATTATATATTCCATCCTGTACGTACGTACCAATGTGGTTAACAGGGAGAGCATGAAGGAATTGAGCTTGACTGTGGTAATGTGGATCTTTTTGGTTGCACTCTCCGGGTAAGCGACCTACCTAATAATTAATCATATTAGTTTTAATTATTATTATTATTATAAATTATAGTACTCTGTTTGTTGATATGTGAAGGCAATAGATTTCTTTCTGTTATACGCTTCTGATCTGTCCGAACGCAAAATATGTCTTGTTATCATAATGCTGGAAAGGGCATTAGGCATTGTCGCATTGACTAGGTAGACGGGTTTAATTAGACGAAGTTGGCTTTTTAATGGGTCAATTCTATTAAGCCCGTAAGTAGTGGGCAAGGATCATATAGGTATAGTAGTGGTTTACTCCCTCCATTCTTTTTAAACTATATATATATTGAGTTGGCTTTTAATGTTTAATGTTTGACTTATAATAATATTTTTTAAAAATATATATTAACAATAATACATTATTTAAAGTATATTTTAATACAAATAATTTAGCATAATATATATATATATATATTTTTTCATTCACTCTATATTTTATGTATATTTTGTTGAACATTTGACACAAAAAATGAAATATACAATTAAAAAAATGGAGGGAGTAGTCATCATGTTCAACTATTTCCGCAAACGTGCCCCATAACAGCACCACAATAAGCTCCGTAAATTTATTAGCGCACAACACGTGTGGTCACCAATAAAGGAAATTAAGGACGATTGACCGTGATGTGATTAATTGCTCCTCCTCATCAATTAAATTATAATTACACTTTTCATTTTGGACATTTCAAAAGTAAAATTACATTTCTCATTTTTTTGGAGTATAAATATGTGGATTATAGTAAATATAATAAGTTTAATTGCACAATTTTTAATTTCGTAACACTTTTTACAAATTTCATAAAAGTGATACTCTCTAGTAAATTCAATTTAGGGATGGATGGATTAATTCATTGATTCATACCATAGTTCTTTGTTCATGGACACATTTGTTTTAATTTTTTTTTATTTTTGGTTAGTTCTTTGTTTATGAACACACATTAGTTTTAATTCAAGATATTCATGTAAGGTACATTCTTAAGTGGACCTAATTAAGGTCCACCTATAAAATAATCCCTCTGCCTGAAATTACATTATGATTTTTTTCTTCTTTCGATAACTTTTCTTATTCGTGTGTTTTCATTGAGTATTTGATAAAATAAAATATTTTTATCAACTGTTATTTTGTAGAAATTTTGACGTAATTTTTTAATATGTAATTTTTATTACTTATTGATGTATCCGTTTATAAATAAAATGATTTTGAAAAGTGATAGATTTTGTCTCGTAACTCCTAATTTTTAATCAAATTAGGGATGGATGGAGTATTTAATTCTAGTCCGTTACAAAAGTATTTTTATAATGTTGTGATAAATATTTATTTTATTTTACTTATTTTTTATTTTCTGTATGTGAGAAGACTTATGTTTTGTATACCTATATGAATTTTAGGTTCATAGTAGAAACACTCCAATTATGTCTTCAAAAAAATGCAAAGTATAATTTAAAATAAATAAATGTAAAAAAAAAACTGATACAGTATATCACAACAACATCTTTAAATGAATTTAAATTACATAACTAAATTATATTTATTTCCTGCAATTAGTACTCAACAATAAATTCTATTCAAAAATTGAAGGGAAATAAATTCAACAACTAACTAATTCTGAAAAACAAACCCCAAAATCATTCACTGTATAGAAAGTTATAGAAAAAGAGACAAAATCGATCCTATAAAATCAGTAATACTGTAAAGTACTGTAATTCATTGTGTAACGTACTAATTTTTCCCTAAATGTCAATATCGGTTTCCCTAGCTTAATTAAAAGCTGGTGCACCGACCAAGCATGTAGCCAGCCAGATTTCAGTACTCCCTAAGAAATCAAAGATTACAAGATTTATATTGTTAAAAAAGGATGACCCCGATTTAAATGAAGTTTTGATTTCAAATGACCGATAAGAAATTGAGAACTATCTCTAATTCTTACAAAGATTGTTTATGCAGAGCCTAAATCACTTTGTACTTGTCTTCTCTATTAATTATGCAAAGCCATTACGACTTTTTGTACCCCTATTAATTACTTCATTTGTTTCTTAAACTACTACATCTTTTACTTTTTTGTTTTTACCAAAACACTTCTATTTCTATTAAAAAAACTATTTTTACCCCTATTTTTTTCTTATCACATCTATCACATCATACTCTTTCATTAATAATCTATTCATCACATCTTACTTTTACCCATCACATCAAGGACAAAATTGGAAAGTCCACAACAAATACACTTTTTATTTTTTTCTAAAAATCAAAATGGGAACCGTTTTATGAAATGGAGGAAGTACTTGCAGTCCGGGCCGGGTCGAAAATGGGACAACATGATATTAGCCCTATGCAAAATTAACATTTTGGGCTCTTTTTTGTTTTTTGAAGAAAATTTGTACTTTAAAGTTATTCCTAAATTTGATTTCTATAATTACGTTTATACGGAGTAAAAAAATGAATATTCAAATGTTAATTTATACTCTATCCGTCCCATTAAGTTCTTCACGTTTCAAAAAGATCGTGTCTCTAAAAATTCTTCTCATTTCAATTAAAAAACCACTTTTATCCCTTACTTTTTCATACTCTACATATCACATCATACCCTTTTTCTAATAATCTACACATCACATCTTACTTTTATCCATCACATCAAGAGTATTTTTGGAAAGTCAACACAAAATTATTCCTCCTTATTTTAGGAGAAAGACCAAAGTAGGACTAAAACATTGAAAATATACCAAAATAGGACTTCCATGTTTTTATTCCCGAAATAGGAGTTACATTACCAAACATGGTTATATACATTACCAAAAACGTATAGTAATTTGCACATGTACACTGTCACATTATCACAATGCAAAGTCACATTACCACAGTGCAAAGTCCTATTCCGAGAAAAAAAACATGAAAGTCCTATTTTGGTACTTTTCTCTATGTTTTAGTTCTATTTAGGATGATTTCTACTTATTTTACTATTTTAGTGAAACCTTTTATCTTTATGCGACGGAGGGAGTATTAAATTTAAAAATATCAAAAAATTAAAATAATCTTAAAAGTTCGGAGGAGATGTGCTGGTACACACCACCTTACACACTATCCGGCCGCCCATGTTTGGAGAAGATTTTTGGGGGTGAGGACAATGGGCAAAGCAAGCCAATTTGGATGTGGAGACACGTGCCATTCAAATTAGAAAAGAAACAACGCGTGCCTTCCAATCGGAAGAAAAAGGCAATCTGTACGCAAGGCAATTCACTCCGTATTAATTAATCGGGTACAAAATAAGTCAAACTATTAATCCCTCCGTCCTAGAAAAGAAAATTATTTTTAAAAAAAAAATTCATTCATTTCATATGTTTAGAAAATTATTTCTACCACATTTTTAAAGAGTGTGCTAAAAAATCATTATTTTGAGACAGAAAAAAATATAATAATGGGAGAGTATTTTTTGGATCCTCCAATCCTCCACGCCTCCAAGCTGGACTGGATTTGTTTTGTTGTCTATTCAATCTACTTTTCATCCCTTCATTCTAATGATGTCTTTATTCGTGTTTTTTTTTTCAATTGAAATAAAAGCAATCTAAACCGACCATTTTGTCTTAAAACACTCCCACCCATTTTATGCTATAACTGTGGCCCTGTTTCATTTTACAAGTTTTAGAGTTGTAAAATGATGGTCTTGTGCACAAACATAGATTTGATCCAAATTAAATGTTTCAGAGTTCAAAATTTTTACTCCCTCTATACCTAAATGTTTATCGTACATTTCTAAAAACGAAGTAAAATATTTAATTTTTTCAATTCATTTTATTTAAATATTTAGTAGCAGAAATAAAAAGTGTCAGAAATATTTTATTTTATTAAATAATCAATGAAAAACTTATAAATTAATAAAAATTTTAGTGGCTCTTGAAAAAATAAATGTGGTAAACATTTTGAGCCGGAGGAAGCATTTAGATTTGAATTATGTCCCTAAAATTTCTAACAAAATTTAATTATTACATTTAAGTAGAATTCATGTTTGAGTAAAGTGAATAAGTCAAACCCAACAAAGAAGAATACTCTTTAACGCTTTAATTTCATTTTTGTCCCATAATAGGGAGTACTAAATTTGATATAACGTAAATTTAATATAATTGGGTCTATTTAAAGATTAAATTGATTTGAATTAAGTCGAATATAACTAAATTGAATTGAATTAAATTTAAAAGAAATGCATTTAACACAACAGAAACTTAAATGGAAAAATATTAAACTAAAATTGATTGAACATTAGTGAATTGAACTGGAACATAAAGGGCCTGTTTGGAAAAAGCGTTAGCGATTAGCGTTAACGAACTCACTAAAAAGATATATACTCCGTATAAATCACTACATGTGCTCGTAATTCTTTACTTAAACGTGAACAATGGAAAAGAACATTTGGGTGGATAGAATATGATCGACTTGATAAAAAGGAATTTGAATATTAGTTATGGCTGATTACTTTGAATATTCAATTTCATTTCATCAATCTAAACTAGTACTATACCCGGAAATAAACTAATCTGTTTTTTCAAATTTAATTTTCTTTATAAGTTGAATGAAGAAATTAGAGATAAATGATGGCAAATTATTCTGTGAACCTAAGGTTTTTAATCATTATATAGATCTTAGTGTGTTTCTAGTATAAAAGAAGTGGGTTTTTTACAAAAAAGTAAATATTCACACACTATTTACTTTATTAAAATATAGTATATGTTCATACATCGCAATCTATTAAAAAGCATATAGTTATTACCTTCACTGGGTTCAAACTTGTGACCTATAATTTGGAACAGTCACCTTGATGATGTCGCTGAACCACAAGGTCTATGGCCTGATAACTTTTATTTATGTGAAATTTGCACTAAATAGGACTAAAACATAATAACTTTCCTAATCTAGATCTTAAACTTTTTTATTCCCTAAATAGGACTTATTAATGTCTTAGTGGGAGGAATAATGTCCACTAATGATGGACATTTACTTGAATAATGACTAATTCATAATGACCAAAAGTCCTACATAGGGAAATAAAAACATATGGTCCTATATTGGGAAAGTCATTATGTTTTAGTCCTATTTAAGTAAATTACTCTTTATTTATTTGTGTGTTTTCATTGATTATTTGATAAAATAAAATATTCTTATCTCATGTTTTTATGAAACATTTGATGTAATTTTGAATTATGTAATTGTATTTGTTAAATCTTCACATATTTGTAAATAAAACAATTTATAAAAATATTTAAGATTTTTTGAGTTATTCAAAATGAGACGACTATTTTGGGACGTATGGAGTAATTGTTCTCAAAGGAGTAAAATTTTCACTATAATAGAATTTTCCTTAGCTAAAATATGAGAAATAAATTACTCATTTTTCACGAAGTAATAACTATTTTACCTAAAAATCAAATCAAATCTGCAGAACCATACCATTTCGATCAATGATGATAATTTTTTTAAAAATAGGGTGGTTATTATAATTCTATTCATCTCTAATTTAAAGTCACATTTCTCATTTAAAATATACTCCACACTTCTCTTATTTATTTATTAGGAAAAGAAATTGTGGATCACAATATTTTATATTTTAACACTTCCAAATTCTCTAGGAATACACAACACTTTTTGCACCCAATATTGGTCACTTCATCTGGGTTTGATAAAAGGATTCACAAATTCATTCGGAGTAATACTCCGTGGATTAATAAAAGAGTAATTTACCTAAATAAGACTAAAACATAATGACTTTTCCAAAATAGAACCATTTGTTTTTATTTCCCAATGTAGGACCTTTGGTCATTATTAATTAGTCATTATTCAAGTAAATGTTCATCATTACTGGTCATTATTCCTTCCACGAAGACATTATTAAGTCCTATTTAGGTAATAAAAAAAGTTAAGTCCTAGATTAGGAAAGTCATTATGTTTTAGTCCTATTTAGTGCAAATTTCACTTAATAAAATCTTTTCCTATTGAGACCAAAAAACGATTGCAACCGTTTGTAACGCCACGTCACTTGAATTGCTAGAAGTATGTGGCTTGTGAGCTTGTTCAACTTTTTTTTGGGTGAAAATAATACTCCCTCCGTCCACAAATAAATTTCTCGTTCACTATTCACATGGTCAAACTTTATTTTTAAATTTTACACCATTTTCCATATAATATGATTTGAAAATAAGTTTATTTGTGGACGGAGGGAGTATATACTCACTCCGCCTCATTAATCATATCAATAATACTGATATATTTTTAGATCTATAAAATTCTCAAAATTTATATTAATAATTAAATACACAAAATTTAAATTGATTTTATTCAAGTACAATAAATGGAAAAAGGACTTGGACCAAATAAAACAAAGTTTGCACAAAAAAAAAGGAAATGACACAAATACTTTTTTAGGTAAAAAGTTGTTTACTACCTAATTAAAATATTATACTTTTATAGGAATATAATGAACCCATAATACATTATAATAGTAATAGAGCCTGAAAAAGAAATAAGTTGAAGGATAGAGTAGTAACAATGAAAGCCAAAATGATCCATATATCAATACATACACGTACACCAAATTAGTTTAAGCCCAATTACTAATTTAATATGGGATAAGCACTACTACTAGTGTCGAAACTAATTATATTAAAGAGAACAAATCAAACTTGACAACCACCGTAGGTGCTTGAAAGATACCGGTGAAAGGATGTGATGATCCGTCTTCAAGTATATCTATACATATATGGAGTATATAAAATGTGTAGGCATTAATCTCCTACTCTAAAAAAATATTCCTAATCATCCCACAACTACTTTGCTCTAGCTAATTTATTTGTCAATTTGCTTATTCTTGTTTATTCAAAAATCAAAATTAGCTATTCACTATATATATTCAATTAATATCTCTAATTCCTCCATCCCAAAAAGTTGTTCTCATTTTGACTTTTATGTGATCTAAGAAAGAAATATTTTTGTATTTATTAATAAATAAATAAGTATGATGTCATATGTAGGGTAAGAGTTAGTAAAAAAAAAACAGAGAAGAATGGAGAAAGGAATTTTGGGACAAGGAAAAAATGAAAAGAGAAAGACTTTTAGAAATGGAGGGAATAATAAATTGTTTAAAATATTCTAAATATAAAATATAAGTATTATTGACAATAATTTGTAACAAACTCATTGTCGTCATTTGAAGGCGTGATTTGATATTTAAAACTCATTTATAAGCAAATGATTTTTGCCATTATGGAGTACATGAATAAGAATTCTCCATTTACGATTCTTATTGGCATTTAAGGATCCGTTTTGTGAACTTTAGAAAAATGATATGAATTTTGAAAAGATTTAAAATCATATTTTATTTGGTGGTACGCGGGGGTGGCCTGTTACGGGGGTGGTTGGCGTTGCCAGTGGGGAGGGGGTGGATGGTGGATGGTTGAGGAGATATCGAATCCCTTATTGATATCTCCCAAATCGAGGAGATATCAAAATTCTTTATTTGAAGAACTTATGATATCTAGAGATATCGAATCCGAATTTTTTGAAAGCCTCACTAAATAGCGAAAAAGTCTGATATCGGGACATACGAAAATCCATATTTCTTGGTCTCACCAAATAGGCCCAAGTCTTTTTGGATAAGTAATAAATTATTCGCAATTGGTATCTGACACTCCAAATTTGTCATTGGAAAAAAGAGTGTCAATGTTGGAATGCCAATATTAAAATTTTAAAATATTAGTAATTTTAAGTATATCAGATCAATACTTCCATCTCAATTTATATATATGTGATGTAATTAGGCCCATGATGCTAAGCTTGACCTGTCTTTAAGGAATGCTCGCGTGATAGAGGTTGGACCGCCCAGTTTGGAAGTGAGGTTTAGGCCCACATGAAAATGGGTGTGGGCCACGCTGACCCGAAAGCGAAGCGCGCATCATAGTTGTGGTTATGGTTAGGTCAAAGATACTCTTTTAAATTAACGGACCAAATTAGGGATCATGATTTGGATCATATAGTTTGGCCCAAATAGTGAAAAGCAATAAGATTGGGCCCATTTATTTTTGGGAGCCTTGTACCGTTGCACGGGTCCGACGGGCCAAGTGTCGCCCAAGCATTAACTAGTGGATCGCGTATTTGTCCCCTTACCTAGGTCCTACTTTGCTTCTTATGGTCCTACTTTGCTTCTTATTGAGGGGGGNATCTCGGCCCATATCAGGATGGTATAATACCAAATTGGATGTGGAGTTTTTCGTGAGAGAGTGATATGGAACAAATGACTTTCTCAAGGTGTCTCTTAAGATATAAATCGAATTCTATCCTTGAATTAGAGGGTGTTGATGTTGCGTTTAAAAACTAGTTATGAGACTATGTTTCATTAAAATGTTGTTTGTAGTGTTTGCCAATATATTTCTGCTTATATATTATGACTTCTGCAGTTTAAGCAAAATTAAAAATATCTGCTTTCTGCTTTTATCACACCCCAAACACGCTCATAAAATAGAATGTGTGTCTATTGTTGGAATTACCATAGAGCCTTTTATTAATTTGATTTGAATAATTATTGGCTTTCATCACTTTGCAGGATAAGTATGGCTATGGGCTTCTTCTATTATGGTCTCCAAAACACATCAGCTACCTATGCAACAAACACACTCAATCTAATTCCAATAGTCACCTTCGTCTTCTCAATAATCACTCGGTATGATCGATATGAACACATTGCGCTTTCGGCCGCAAACGCATTACCTTTAAAATTTAAATAAAACACACTTTTCTTTATTTCTTTCTTTGAGACTTAAATGGAGAAGAAAAATCCATGGGGGAAAAAAAAGCCAAAGTATAAATATTAATTTTTGGTGTTGGGCATTGAAGTTTGGAGAAGCTGCGGTTGAGAAGCAAGGGAGGAAAAGCCATTCTACTTGGAGCGATGCTCAGCTTTGGGGGTGCATTGACAATCACACTATACACCGGCAAAACCTTTCATCTCTCCCTTATAAGCACCAAGACTAAAGAGGTAATCGTTCCAAAAGTGAAACCGAATTGGGGCCGTGGGACTCTATTTCTTGTGTGTAGCTGTCTAAGTTATGGCTTCTGGTTCATTGCGCAGGTAATTAGTAATAATAATAATAATCCATTATATTATTTAGTCTCTCTCCCTTTTAAAAAAAATATGTGAACATATTTGAATGATTAGTAATAAGTAATAATAATAATAATCCATTATATTATTTAGTCTCTCTCCCTTTTAAAAAAAATATGTGAACATATTTGTTTAGGCCAAGTTGTACAAGATATTCCCATACATGTATTCTGCAAACACCATTACATGCATATTTGCAACATTCCAAAGCATGGTATTGGGTTTATGCGTTGATAGAACAAAAGCCTCGTGGAAGTTGGGATGGAATTTGCAACTAATTACCATTTTCTATTCAGTAAGCAAGCGTTGTTATTATTATTATTATTTTTATTATATTTCATCTCTCGATCTATGCTATTTTTTTAATTTATTAAAGATTCGAGGGGGATAAAATGAATTAAAAACCACAACTCCCTGTGTCGCCGCCATTTTGTTATAGGGTGCATTGGCTACAGCAGCAACATTTTGCTTGATTGCTTCTACAATAGCAAAAAGGGGACCAACTTATCCTTCAATGTTCAATCCACTCTCCTTAATACTGGTCGCCATTGCCGAAACGCTTTTCCTCGGATCATCCATTTCAGCTGGAAGGTTACGTGTCATTCTTCTCGATTATCCGATGCAAATTTGTTTTGATTTTTGTTGCAATATATTGTGTTTTTCATTCAATTACTCACACTTGTTTAATGTATGCATGCAGCTTGATTGGCATGACTTTAACCATAGTGGGATTGTACATGTTCCTATGGGGGAAGAACAAGGAGATGAGGAAAAGCATGCCAAAAAGAATGAAAAGTGAAGCTCAATTAGCATCATCATCGTCAGTTGAGCCTGAGCCAGTGCAATCAACGGCTATAGTTGTTCCAACGGATGAGAGGCACATTTATATCGGCGACTGTGCCAATGAGGATGTGGCAAACCCGCCTAATTAACTCGAAAAATGGGTATTTTAAATTCTACAAATGACTAATTGATTTGGTGATATTGGCATGTGTTAATTAGCTAGCTAGTACAATATTCAATAACTTTTGGAATGGCACTTAAGTAATACTCCACCCCTCCCAAATTAATCTTCAAGTGATTTTTCAAATTTCTTTTGGATAAAAGAAAGGTGATCGATTGTTTTATGTAAGTAAATCTCAATATGTAAGAATTCAGTTTTTTAATTATGATGTCAAGTCAAAATTAAAATATTCTAGTAATTTGGGAGTGGAGGAGTATTTATTTTGTGACCTCATTTGTTGGCATGGTGACTTGAAACTTAAATGTTATTTCGTTGGGCCTTCTAATGCCCCAAATGTAATCTAATTTTGCACATTTTATTTATTCTTTTAGATGGCCGTATGTGTTACTTTTATGACATTAATACATATGTTTGTTACTTCTTAATCTGTTACACTATGTCTGGTTCAAAAAATTAAGATGAAAAATTAATTTTCAAAAAAAATAGAAGAAGAAGAAAATGTGAAGATAAATTACACTCCGTACTAATAATACAATGGAAAACAAAATTCCTCTTATTGTGGTAAAGAAAATATGATAAAACTATTTTTGTTTCTTTCTTTCCAATTTTTTTAAACCAAACATAGTACTTTCTCTGTCCTAAAATTAATTTGTCATTTGACATTTCATCACAATCTGCAATGCTACACTTTGATCATTAATATCTATATTTTTTATATACATAGATATTATAAAAATAATATATTTCAAAACTATATTTCAAAATGAATATATTGATAAAAAATTCTATGAAAGTTGAATGTATTTCTCCGCAATATGCAGTCTAAATTCAAAAACTTTGACTGCAAAAATCAAACTGAAAAGTAATTTTAGGATGGAGGAAGTATAAGATAATTTTTGTTGGCAAATTGAATTTCTCAAGAAACACTTACCTAATAGCTTGTTTTAAAATTCAAATCTAGATATCACATTTTTCAAGGATTCAAATTTTATCATCGAAATTCAAGTATTCAAATGAATATGATGACCCTTAGAGTTGAATGACCAAAAAAAAGAAAGAAGCTTTGTAAATTGGAAACAATATTTAACCTTTTCAAGCTTGAGCCAAACTCAACAAAGGCGGGAGGGATAATCACACACTATATAGACTAGACTAGAAATGTCCCCTTCGATCTATACAGGGAAGGAGTCGTCAGCTAGTCCAATAAATAAAGTTCTATATAAACCCACTCCAATTCAATCTGTCTGTAGTAGGCTATGATCAACACATATACCCTATATATAATTAATTGGATCATTGCATTCTGATGGGTGAGAACACAACGGTAAGTTTAGCGTGATCAGAGAGTGAATAGTCTTCGGGCCATAATCCCTTCTCCGCTTCCTTTGGGAAAAGAAACGCATTCTGGATGCCGAAACCAATAGTTTCCTCCGTGCCGTTTTCATTATCATCCCATGACTCATTGCATCCTGCTTCTCTTTGTTCTGACCATGTTGGATTCCATATGCGTTGCTGCGATGAGAAAAAAAAAGACTATATGAACACCGTTTATGTTGCTGTTTTTAATTTTTATGATTTTGTTTTTGTGTTTTAAGAATTCAGATAGCCTTTCAAAACCTTGTTAATATCCCCTACTAATGTTTAAAGTACAACGTCTATGGATGGAATAAGAGAAATGGGTAGTTAATTAATCGGTCAGAACGCACAAAATAAGACCTTGAATTCTTTGTAATCAACAACGCCATTTCCATCAATATCTGTTTGCACCCACAAATCATTGATCTCCTGAATACTTAACCCATAGCAATGGCCAATCAAATTAAGCTGCAGGATCACTAAAATGCATTAGTTACTGACTTTATTGTTGAATTATTAAAGTTAATGACAGAAAATGTGTATGTATGTTTAGTTGTCGAATGTTACCTGCCGCAATGCTTCATAGAAATCAGAGTATGTAATGTAATCTTCGTCTCCATCTGCCTTCAGAAACGCAAATGCATTCTTCTCTGTCAAAGACGCCCGGCGAAGTTGATACTGAAAAACCCAGAGATCTTATTAGTAAATATAACAAGCTCAACAAACAACTTTACATTATGTTTGGTTCAAGGAATTTTTGAGAGGAAAAGAAAAGAAAATAGTTTTCCTTCATTTTCCTCACCAAAATGCGAGGAAATTGGGTTCCCCCCTTAGTACATTTTGCCTTCTCCTTTTCTTTTCCTCTCTAACCAAACAAGAAAATGTTTTCATTGTCATTTTCTTATCCTTTCCCTCTCAGATTCATTGAATCAAACATAGTGTTATTTGTCTGAATAATTTTCAACCTTAAACATCCCAAAGATGGCCTGACTCCAACTTGTTTTCAGCAACTTCCTGTACTTGTTAGGATTAAGAAGCCATATAAAGTCTACTCCACAGATGTTCCCTCGATGATTACGGTGGCTCACCCACTGCATATGATAGAATGAAATGAGAATATGATATGAGAATTTTATACACTAAAACCTGTATAGACGAATATCTTTGCCTCCTTGGAACCAAACTAGGACTCCCTTCATATTGAGAGGTTATAACTAAGTGAAATTTGCACTAAATAGTACTAAAACATGCCTTTTCACAATGTAGTATATAAAACATTTTATTCCCTAAATAGTACTTGAATAATGTCCGGTGGCGGAAACAATGTCTAGTGGTGGTGGACATTTACTTTGAACAATGTTCGTGGTGGTGGACATTTACATGCACAATGACGACAATGTTTAGTGGACATTGAACAGTGGTACTACATGGGAAAATTAAAACATAAGGTACTACATTGAAAAACTCACTATGTTTTAGTACTATATACTGATGAAAAGGAACACCATATGAAGTATTTTTCCCTATAACTACATAGTGCCATATGAAGTGTTTTATTTAGTACTATACAGTATTGCCCGATAACTAAATAGTGCCATACCTACCAAAATTTTGTAAATTTGGACAAAAGTATTTTAAAAATAAAATAGTGGTTGTTCTTAGAAAGAGTACTACTATATAGAAATTCTACCTTATGTGCATCTGCATCAGTGTACTGATGTGCAGTATCATATGATGATACAAATCCCTGAGATCTCAAGAACTTATAAACATGGCCTCGTTTGCTTCCATTCCAATCCCTTCAAATTTTACAGGAAACCCGAGAACAAATAAGATATGTATATGAGCACAAGTCATAAACATCCAGTGAAAAACAGAAAATACCCGCAGAGCATGATCGGCAAAGGACTAAGCATATTCTCCTTTTGATATGACTCTACATATTGCAGTATTTTATAGACCTGAGAAAATGAAGCATGGCATTGTGATATGAAAACAGCACTTAATGAAATTGGCAAGAAGAAGAATAACATATAAATACCTGTCGCAATCGTTCCAAGCATAGACTTGAATCGTGCGGGAACAGCAAGTGTGTGTTAACTATGAGAATTTCTTTTCTAGCATTGATATTTCGACATGGTGAGGAGGGTAATATTAGATCAACATGTAACAGTTGTGCAACACGGTCTCCAAAATCATTGAAATGCAACTCTTGATGACTTATTACCCTGAAGTAATCCTCATGTACAGCAGTCAGCAGACCTGTGGACATTAATAGAGCGTGAGTTAAATTGGTAATTACACTCAATCGCCGTTAATCTTGAACATGATATCTTTAACAAATGAAAAAAAAACTACAATGTCATATCAAAGATCAATAAATATCAAACAAAAATGTCCATAGAAAAACATCATACAGGTTTCTTTACACTATGTTTGGTTCAAGGAATTTGATATCAAACAAAATGTCCATAACAGTTTTTGTTGTTTGGTTAGAGAGGAAAAAAAGGGGAAGGAAAAAAAATGAGAAGGGAAAATATACTAAAGAGGACGGAAAACCAAGTTCCTCCCATTTTGACGAAGACAATGAGAGAGAACCATTTTCTTTTCTTTTCCTTCCAAATTCCTTGACACAAACATAGTGCAAGTTTATAGCAATTGCAGTGAGAAAACAGTGCTGTCAGGTAGTTTCAATATAAAATTTGCAATTCATAAAAATTAAACAAATACATTGATATAAAGAAATACCGTTTGAAGGATAAAAATTGGGGTACATACCATCCCCGCGGTTGTTAGTTCGGCCGAGCTTAAAAACAATATAGCCAGCATCCCCTAGTCTCTTGTCATAGAGATCAACAAGCTCTTCATTCCCAACCCAAAATTCCTTGAAACATATTTGAGCATAGTTTTAGCTTGGGCATCACACACAATGCAATTAAACAGCCAAAAGGGAGAAGTGTTTTATCTAAACATTTATTTGAAAGCATCCTGCCCTTTTAGGTAATTTCACCTGGAAAATATTCATTTGAAAGCATCTAATTTACCAAACAACTTTTCACAATAAGCTAAGATAAATAGCCTGATAAAACAGCTAAATGAATCTTCGAATGAAAGCCGTTAGCACAAAAAGAAAAAGGTCATAAACTTTTCACATATAAAATAACAAATTACAAAAAAAAAGTGAGAGAAAAATAAATCAAATCCTTTTAGGGTTAGTTCTTCTTCATTTTGTCTTGCAACTTACCTGAAGGCAAATGATGGAAGATCTCTCATACAATAAGCAATCCAAAATCCCCTGGTTCCTATCCAGCCAAAATTCCCTAAAATGGCTTTCTCTAATCGTCGGTTCCTGCTTTTTTGTTTCCCAAAATTGTTACCAATCATGACATTCCGGAATTGGGATCTCACACACAGAGATCCACCCAAATTTCAAATTTATGATTCATAAACATAGAGAAAAAAAATAAAAAGGAGCAAACCTCGTGAGTGATTCTTTTGTAAATGGGGGCAAGGATATTGAAGGTTGTGCAAGAAATTGAATCGGGATCGGAGATTGAAGAAGCAATTGCGTAACTGCCGATTCTGGCGGCCCTGCCTTTCGTAGCCTTCCTCCCCATTGTGTATTTTCGAGCCTATAAATGTACGGAGTATTGCGTACGTATTATTGGTAGAATTGTTTGAATACAGACTTGAAGATATGTGTGTCCGGAAGGGGGAAATAGACAAAGAAGAGGAAGGAAATAAGAGAGACAGTAGGATCAAGCAACAGGGAAGCAAGAATGAAGGGAGTAGAGGCAGGGAACGATGAATGAAGATTAAAGTGAACGAAACAATGTTTATGATGTATTCAATGCTCAGAGAGATTCTGTTTCTGTGGAAGAGAAGAAGAGGAAAGCCTGAGAAACGAAATTATGATGCATTTAATGCTGACAGAGAATCCGTTTCTGCTGAGGAGGAGGACAGCCTGAGAATCCTTTTTAACTTTTTTTTTCCTTTTTATCATATTACTTTCGGCGTTGGATTTTTTATTCTAATTTTCTCTCAATTATTATTATTATTATTAT